TCCCAGAAAGCACTGGGTTCGTGAGAATGGTGATTCCGTGCGCACACAAAACGTCGGGGCGGGATTTCTGGCGTTGTCCCAGGAGCGGCCATTTTGGTAGGCATTTGGTGTGCTTTTCAAGTGAGAAGTAACGGAGCGCTGGGTAGGGACCGTGGCACCTAAACTAGAGGTGAAGTGTCATTGTTGCCGCTGCACAGAAACCGCTCTGAAACTCCTCTAAGGCGCCCATCGAGACCCGTGCCAGGCCCAGGAGAACCACCGCGGTGCTCTGGTCTCCGCCCCAGTCTCCCGCCGCTTCCGGCCCTGCTCGGCTCACAGTCTGATGGCTGCTGCGGAGCTGAAGAGCCTAGCTGAGGTAATTGTTGCGTCTTCTGCGCCCTCACCCTCATCCCTTTCACACAAATCTTAAAGTTCCGAGTGAGGGGTGCTCACTCGGTACAGTGAGGTAGGTGCTCGTGCTGTGGGGGTTCCTATGTCTTATGCCCAATGGGATGGGATGTGGGAGAAAGTAAGGGGCAGAAGCACTAGCAAATGTAAGTTTTTTGGAACGTGGAATCGACGTGTGCGTGTCGCTTACAACGTGTGAGGTAGAGTTACTCGTGAAAAGCAGGTTGAAGTTTGTACTTTATTTTATTTTTATAAAAGAGACAGTGTCCCACTTTATCGTCCTTGGTAGAGTGTCGTGGCGTCATAGCTTACAACAGCAACCTCTGTAAGGGCCAGACCAGCGCCATTTTCTTGTCTGCTTTGTTAAACTGCAGGGCCCACCTTGTAACCCTCCCCATTCCATTCATAGTTGCTTAAACCACACCCGCAGGGCCCACCCTGCAACCTTTCTCATTCCTTTCATAGTTACTCAACCAAATAGTGTTAAGGGATCCTCCACCCCTTACCTGTACCAATCCAAATTCACCTTTACTAATGAAATCACCAACCACCAATGAAAAGTGTACTCGTATCTGACCCTACCCCTCTTGCTTTCTGTACCCCATAAAAACTGCCTTCACCCCGAGTTTGGGGCTCGTCCTCGGCTTGCATGCCAGGAGAGTCCAGGCCCGGGACGCCCGGGCTTCCCGGGTCTGTAATAAATCTCATCTTATGCCCTTTACATTGGAGCGAGTCTTGAGTTTGTCAGTTGGGGTTAATTTGGGAGGCTTTCTCGGACCCAACACCTCCAACTCCTGGGCTTAGGCGATTCTCCTGCCTCAGCCTCCCGAGTAGCTGGGACTACAGGCGACCGCCACAATGCCCAGCTATTTTTTGTTGTTGTTGTTCGAACCCGCCACCCTCGGTATATGGGGTCGGCGCCCTACCCACTGAGCCACAGGCGCCGCTCCTGAAGTTTGTACTTTTACTGGGAGAATGGTAGAAACCATGGAGTTTTGAACTAAGAAGGAACACGGGCGAAGTCAGGGTTTTAAAGGTTTCCCAAAGACTGTGGTAGGGAGAACAGAGTGGGTAGTGGTAATGAGGACCTTGGGGCACTGAGAGGTTGAATCTTTGTTGCAGATCACATAGGTGGTAGGAATGGCATTTTACACTGAAGTCACACAGTCAGTCCGAGGTCACCTGGTTCCAGGACCAAGAAAGTGAGTCCTGAACTTAATCAAAACTCACCAAGGACTGCATCTTCACTCAAGTTCCTCTGGTTTCAGAACCTACTCATTTAAGGAACCCAGAGAAAGGAAAGGTGTACCATTTTGTTGCTGGTCCTTAACCCCCACCTACATACTCTGTACATTGTAGTATCATGAGACTCTTATGTGATTTTTTCTTTTTTCAATCCTTTGCTCTTGGGACCCTGGAGAAGTCCCAAACATAGGCTCCTAGGTTTATGACACAAGTTACATGAAGGTATTCCTGTTTCTGTCAATGATGTAAACACACTTGTAAGATTAACTCAGGAGTTAACAACAGTGGATATCAAATGCTTGGAGATAAAACTGATCAGAGGGTAGTATTACCACAGTTACTGCTGGCTACAGGCTCCATTTTGGGAGCACATCAGTGAATAGACTGAGGTCGAAGGAGAAGGAAGGAAGATCAGAGGTGAGGCTTCTGTCATAACCCATGTGAGGAATAGTGGACAGGCTTCAAGGCTAAGGAGATGTAGTAGATTAAAGTTTCACAATTTGTAAAAGGGATCTGGTATTTCCTAATATGGGCAGTGAGAGTGTAAAATGAGGCATTGGGTATGTCCTAAAGTTTTTGGTCTTAACACCTGTAGCAATAGGAGCTATATCAACTATGATAAACAAGTTGGTATTAAGTATAATATTCACTGAGGATATCAGGAGGGTTGTTTTGACCATGTTATGCCTGAGACATTTCAGAGATAATTGAGTGAAGACATCAAATGGGTCACTAGACATATAGGGTGGGATATTTAGGAAGAGGGTAATATCCAATATGTGGTGGCTAATTTGTCAACTAAGGTAAATTAGCCATGGGTCACATTTAAGAGGGGTAGTATTCAGATTATGGTGGTAAAGCTATTAGGTGGCCAGGAAGAGATGGTTGGAGTCTGAGGACTCTTGCTTGGGTGCCTGGATGACCTTATTGGCCTTTCTGGACACAGGAGAAAGAGGTAAGTGACCATGAAGACAGAATGTATCAGCATAGTGTGGCAAAAGGTACAGGGTTCCTAGAAGAGAATAGACATAAGATACATGCAAAAGCATTTGAGTAATTTTGGGAAGATGACACTCAGGCTAAAGTTAGTGCTTATTCATCACTCTGTGAACTCCCCAAGAGTCTTCTGAGATAAGTTTTGTGCTTGGGGGTTTCCATTCAGCCTGGTGGATATGGTCAGGGAGAAATACGTTCATCTGTGAAAGTCAGTAGGCCTGGGATGTTTGATCAATGCAGTTTGGCATTAAATGGCATTAGGTGGACAGAAGAGGCAATTAAAAAAATGGAATAGTGGCTCACACCTGTAATCCCAGCCCTTGGGAGGGAGGCGGAAACATGTGGATTGCCCTGAACTCAGGTTCGAGACCAGCCTGAGCCAGAGCGAGACCCCATCTCTAAAAAATAGCCAGGCACTGTGGCAGGCACCTGTAGTCCCAGCTGCTTGGAAGGCTAAGGCAAGAAGATGACTTGAACCCAAGAGTTTTAGGTTGCTGTGAGCTAAGATGCTAGGGCACTCAACACAGGGTGACCAAGTGAGACTCTGTCTTGGGAAAAAAAAAAAAAGTGGAATAAAGCCATTGACATCTGGACCAGAGGTGGTTCTATGTGGCTGCAGAACTATGCAAGGATGCTTTCATAGGATGATTTGAGACTAATGCTGCTGGTGGGAACCATGGGAATTATGTGATAATGTTATATCCTCTTTGAATTTACCAGATATACTCTTTTTTTTTTGGAGGCAGAGCCTCAAGCTGTCCCCCTGAGTAGAGTGCTGTTGCATCACAGCTCACAGTAACCTCCAACTCCTGAGCTCAAGCAAGTCTCCTGCCTCTGCCTCCCAAGTAGCTGGGACCACAGGTGCCCACCACAACACCCGGCTTTTTTTGGTTGCAGCCATCATTGTTGTTTGGCGGGCCCAGGCAGGATTTGAACCCGCTACCTTAGGTGTATGTGGCTGGCGCCTTAGCCACTTGAGCCACAGGCGCCAAGCCCAGATATACTCTTCATGGTGTCAACCATGTTGTGGTATAAGGCCAAAAGTGAAGGCTAAATATAATCTGCCACCTTGATATCTGGTAATGTTGGCATGACCTCAGATGGCTCAAGTTCAAATCCCCTTCTCATTCTGCTGTCTTAGATAATGTATCCTAGCCTAACAAACTTTCCCATTAAGGCAGTAGTTCTCAACCTGTGAGTCGAAACCTCTTTTTAACAATGAAAATACATTGTAGCATTAGGAAGATTGAGAACAACTACATTAAGGAGACCAGGCAGAGTTCTTGGTTATAATACTTTATAGTCAGTTTCAATTTCATTCCTACCCTCAGAGGTATTCAGAGAAGCCACTTGTATCCCTTAGAGGTGAATCAGGGATCATCACACTCTCTTCATCCTACAGAGTATGCAAAAAATACTCTGCTTGGCTTAGCGCCCATAGTTCAGTGAGTAGGATGCCTGCCACATACACCAGGGCTGGCAGGTTCAAGCCTGGCCCTGGCCTGCTAAACAACAATGACAACTACAACCAAAAAATAGCCAGGCATTGTGGCGGGCACCTGTAGTCCCAGCTACTTAGGAGGCTGAGGCAAGAGACTTGCTTAAGTCCAGGAGTTTAAGGTTGCTATGAGCTGTGAGCTATGATGCCATGGCACATAGTGAGATTTTGTCTCAAAAAAAACAAAAACACTCTCTGCTTCCTCACTATTATCCACAGTACAGCCTCCAGGTGGCCCTCAGTGGTGAGTGGTATATTCCAGGCTGAGTATATTTGATTTGTAAATTGCTGTTGATAGTATGTCCAATGTCAGATGTCATGTGTTTGACCATCACTATTGCCTTAGGGTGAGAATCCCACCCTCACCAGTAGGAAAGAAGGAAAGCATTAAAATACTTTAACTTCATGGGGAGGCTAAGGAGACACTGCTGATGGGGGCAGAGAAGTGTGGATAGCCACAGGCGTGTGTCTTTGTAGTCTAAAGAATGGTGAGTATTTCGAGTTGTTTGTCTGATAGACCAAAGATAGTACATCAAGATTTACATGACCTTGGCCATAACAGAAATTGCCTTTCATGTCTTGGTGCCTGTGGCTCAAGTGGCTAAGGCGCCAGCCACATACACCTGAGCTGGCAGGTTCGAATCCAGCCCAGACCACCAAACAACAATGACAACTGCAACCAAAAAATAGCCAGGCGTTGTGGTAGGTGCCTGTAGTCCCAGCTACTTGGGAGGCGGAGGCAGGAGAATCACTTGAGCCCAGGAGTTAGAGTTTGCTGTGAGCCGTGATGCCATGGAACTTTACCCAGGGTGAGCTTGAGGTTCTGTCTCAAAAAACAAAAAAGAAATTGCCTTTCGGGGGGTTGGGGGGGGTAGACATTTTATATGTCAGGACCATAGCATAGATGGCCTCTTTGCTTATTAGCTTCCTTTTGCTGATGGTTATATCCCATGATCAGTAGGCCCATGAGGACACAAATGCATCAACAAGCCTAGTTTCTTATCTGAAATGGGGACCCTGGGAGGAGATAGGCATGGGTGGATGTGTGGAAGAGGTAGATTGTGGAACCTCAGCTGTTTGTGGATTCATCTTTCACCATCATTGCAGGGTGCTGTGACCTTTGAAGATGTGGCTGTAAACTTTTCCCAGGAGGAATGGAGTCTCCTTAGTGAGGCTCAGAAATGCATGTACCATGATGTGATGCTGGAGACTCTGGCACTTTTGTTCTCCTTGGGTAAGGTCCTCACCCTCACTTTGTGACCTGATCTACTCTCTGCCCTTTCCCTTTTTTCTTGTTGGCTAGACTCTCAGGAGCATAGGCACAGCTTCCTTCCTAAATTCTCTTGATAGGTTCTGTAGTTAGTGAGGTGTGTTGAAATATATAAATAATCCACACCAACAGTAAAAGATAAATATAGTCTAGCAAAGGAGAGAGGAAAGGAGAAAGGAGGGGAGGGCAGTTAGCAGGATCTCACTGCATGTGCACAATGTGAGAGTGTTCGGCATGATCCCTGGGTCAAGGACTCAACTACAACTTGAACTTTACCTTGGAAGTGAGAACAATGTAACCTAAAAATTTGTACCCTCATATTAATTTGAAATTTAAAAAAATAGAGTAAGCTATGTATATTCCCCTCTCCTCTCCTTGAGCATCCCCACCACCTGCTTCATTGCAGGCTCCCAGGGAAGGATTCAGGGTCAGTATTCTTGGAGTCACCCTAATGCATTCCACTTTGCTTGCCCTCTGACTATCTAGGTGACTTTGTTCAGATCTGAGACGCCTGTGTGCCCAGGTTATGCTTGCTTTCTAGTTTTCATTTCTTTATGCCTTCCTGTGGCAGGAATGGGCATTGCTGTCATTATCACTTCCTACACAGATCATAACTGTTCTCCAAGGGTGCTTGTTTAACACTTCATAATATTTAGTTTCCTTTCATAGGCTGTCCAGTGCTGAGTTGTTTTGAGTCACTGTTGGCTTTTCATTTGCCCTGTCATTCCCTTAATCTTTATACTATCCAGGTCCCATGTACTTGGTCATAATGGTGGTAGGATGGTTCTAAAGATGCAAATGGCTGTCTCATGATGTGGGCTCAGAGGGAGCCTACTGGCATCCTGGGAGAGGGCATAATGTCAAGGCTTTGTTCAAATCATACCAGAAAATTATTTTATTTGACAAGTGTTTTTGTGGCCAGATGAGTAGGCACACACTATTTCTTTTTTTTTTTTTTTCCCATTCTTGAGAGTTTGCAGAATTGTCAGTTCTACATCTTATCATTTCTGCTATTATAAGCACCCTGAGACTAATCTTCAGATCTATGGACTCCGTGTCTCACATGTCTATTTGCAGTAGTTTCCAATTATGACATATAAATTTTGTATTGTCAAGTTGGTACTCATTGTTAAACAGTTTCTGTGTGGTAATCATTTTTTGAGACTGGACATATCCCCATATACAGCATTCACATGTCATCAGCACACAAGGTCCTGGAGACACGTTCTTTGCACAGGAAGTAGTTGTAGATCCTGCCTCTACTGGCTCTGTTGCATGTATAGTTGGTGCCTTCACATCATGAGGCCTCATACATTCTGTGACCTTTATACCTCAGTATACCATCTTCAACTTTAACACAATATCCTGCAAATATTTCTATGTGCTCATTCCTCAATTTGTGAGACATACCTGTGAATGGACTGTTCATTTCCACTCGAGGTAATTTGTACTTCACCAGCATTTTCTTGCTTTCAGGGGGTTGTAGTGGAGCTGAAGATGAGGAGGCACCTTGTAAGCAGAGCACTTCTATACTAGGAGTGTCTCCACTCAGAACTTGTAAGACAGATGTGTCTCTTAAGAGTGCACACCCCTGTGAAATGTATGCCGCAGTCTCGAGAGATATTGTGCACTTGAGTGAGCACCAGGGAATACCTGGCAGGCAGAAACTGAACGGATGTGAGGGAAAATTGTATAATGGTCCAAACCTTCATCAGCAGTGGAAGCAAAATGTTGGAGAGAAAACTTATAGAAGAAGCATCATCCAGGAAGCATCATTTTTAAAGAGCTGTGAGTCCCATGTAGCAGTGAAGCCATTTAACTTCAGTCAGGTTGGGAAGGACTTGGAATTACTACAGAAAGAGGCAGCTCACACTGGAGAAAAGTCGAGCATTGAAATCAAGTATGGGTCACCCCTGCAGAGGGAAAAAACTCATGGCTGTGGAGAACCCACAATAGCCTTTGACTCCAGACACACACTGGTTGAGCACCAGAGACTTCTCCCTAGAGAAGGATGTTATGTGTGCAGTGTATGTGGGAAATCTTTTAGCGGAAGGAATAGCTTTAATAATCACCAGAAAGTTCATACTGGAAAAAGACTTCATAAATGTGGAGAATGTGGGAAATCTTTTCGACAAAAGGGCAACCTTATTCAACATCAGCGAGGTCACACTGGAGAAAGGCCTTATAAGTGTAAGGAATGTGGAAAATCATTTAGGTACAAGTCCCACCTCAATGAACACCAGAGACTTCATACTGGAGAAAGACCTTACAATTGTGGGGAATGTGGGAAATCATTTAATAAGAAGTGTCATCTCCTTGTCCACCAGAGAATTCACACTGGAGAAAAGCCTTACAAGTGTGAGGAATGTGGGAAAGTATTTAGCCATAAGAACTCTATTACTATACACTGGAGAGTTCACACTGGAGAAAGGCCTTATGAATGCAATGAATGTGGGAAATCATTTCCCCACAGCTCTGCACTTTATATTCATAAAAGAGTTCACACTGGGCAAAAGCCTTATGAGTGCATTGTATGTGGGAAATCCTTTGCTGAAAGCTCTAGTCTCATTAAACACAGGAGAATTCACACTGGAGAAAGGCCTTATGAATGCACAGAATGTGGGAAATCATTTTTTCGGAGTTCTTCCCTCCTTCAACATCAGACCATTCACACTGGAGGAAAGCCTTATGAGTGCAGTGAATGTGGGAAATCCTTTGCTAAAGCATCCAGTCTACATCAACACAGAAAAGTTCACACTGGAGGAAGACCTTAAGAGCACAGCGAATGTGAAAAAAAAAATTACCCAAAGTTGTGCTCTCCTTGAGAGTTTACGCTAGCCAAGTCCTTACATGTGAAATAAGTTTGAGGAGTTCTTTAGCCATAGGGAATTCTGACTTCTACTTTAAGGTCAGAAACTTCACACTAGATCAAGGTCTTAATTGTGAAAAATATAGGATATTTGCTATCCAGAAGGCTAGCTTCATCACATACAGGAGAGCTCCCGCTGCAGAAGTGAACTTTGGAGTGCAATAAATATGAGAAAGCCTCAGCCTTCTCACATTGGGTACCAGAACATTCACATGAGAAAAACAACATAGATTACAGGGAATATTATTTATTGTTGAGTGTAACACTGGAGGAGATCCCTTATGAGGGTGCCATGTGCCCAAACCGAATGTCATAAATATTTTTAGTGCACATAATTTTTCTTCTTTATGTTCCTTAGGTGAGAATATATCTGTACTGATGTGACATACTATTTCTCATAGCCTAGTGAGAATATCCAGAAATTTAAAAGTATTTTGATAAGTTTTTAAAGCAGAATTTTTACCTCTTCTTGTTTTTTTCCCAAAATGGATAGTATATACTTGAATTTTCTTTTTTTATTCAATCAGATTTTTTTTTCTTGAGACAGAGTCTCAATATGTTGCCCTCAGTAGACTGCTGTGGCATCATAGCATACAGCAACCTCAAACTCTTGGTCTTTAAGCCATTCTCTTGCCTTAGCCTCCTGAGTAGCTGGGACTACAGCCTGCCACAACATCTGGCAATTTTTTGGTTGCAGTTATCATTGTTGTTCAGCAGACCTGAGCCAGGCTTGAACCCACCACCCTTGGTGTATGTGTCTGGCACCCTACTCACTGAGCTACAGGTGCCAAGCCCCAATTTATATGTTTTATTTTCTATGAAATGAAACCATTTTCATTATTTTCTTTTTTTTAGTAATATATACCAATTTTTTTTTTTTTTGGTACAGACAGAATCTCACTTTATTGCCCTTGGTAGGGTGCTGTGGTGTCACAGCTCACAGCAACCCCAACTCCTAGGCTTAAGTGATTCTCTTGCCTCAGCCTCCTGAGTAGCTGGGATTACAGGTGTCTGCCACAACACCTGGCTATTTTTTTGTTGCAGTTCAGCTGGGGCTGGGTTTGAACCTGCCATCCTCAGTATATGGGGCTGGCGCCCTACTCACTGAGCCACAGGCGCCATCCTATATACCAGTTCTTTTGTATATACTACAATAGTTCTGTCCTTTAAATTTTTTTTTGTTTTTACCACAGTTCTCCATATGGATGTCCTACAAATTTTTGAAATTTCGCTACAGAAAATTGCATACAACTTACATGAAGTGAAATGTTTTAATACCTGAGTAGCTACTAAGCAGGTCAATAAGTGGAGTATTTATAGAACATCATTGGCTCCTATTTATTCCTTTTAATGAAAATGTTTCAATCCCCCTCCCCCCAAGTTAGGGATTTTTCTCACACAAAACTTGGGGCCTTCTAGCTTTTTGTAGGTAGAACCTATACTGACCAATGTAGTTTAGCTTTGCCAGTTTTTAAAATTTATGTGAATGTAGTCATATGACAAGAATTAGATGTGTGGCCACATTTGCACATATGCATTTCTGCTTTTATATGTACCTGTATTTATGTAGCTATATCAAGCTAATTTTTATTTTTTTGTATTATGTTTATGTAAAATAATGAAAAATATATTGGTCTTTGTACTGGTACCTGACTCAGAGCTCCTAAAACCATCCAGTTAAATTGTTGGCTCCTAGTTGGTGTCTGTCTAGAAGTGGATAATTCCTTGTTGTGGGAAAAACCCATTGATGACCAGAAGTGTTACAAGAATATAGGAGTAATCAGTTTGTTTTTCATGTACATTTGGTGTCAGTAAAATGAACTTGCTAGAATGGTCCTGTCACATGAGAACGTGGTTTGGGAAGAGAAATGATGAAAGGGTAGCGCATGAGTACTTTTTGATCCCTGGGTGATGCCCCCATCACCTGTGGTATGAAACTGCAGCTGTGCTGGAATCAGTTAATAAAGATATAAGTTACCAGGCAGCACCTGTGGCTCAGTGGGTAGGGTGCCAGCCTTATATACCAAGGGTGGCAGGTTCAAACCCAGCCCCAGCCAAACTGCAACAAAAAAATAGCTGGGTATTGTGATAGGCCCCTACTCTGGAGGCTGAGGCAAGAGAATAGCCTAAGCCCAGGAGTTGGAGGTTCCCGTGAGCTGTGTGATGCCATGGCACTCTACTGAGGGTGACAGAGTGAGACTCTGTCTCTGCCAAAAAAAAAAAAAAGATACAAGTTACCAATGAATTCAGAGTGTTTCTGTTACTTTAAAATAAACCACAAATGAGGTACCTTCCAGTCAAAATACAAACTTGGGGGTGCTAGTGGCTCAGTGACTAGGGCACTGGCCCCATATACTGAGGGTGACAGGTTCGAACCTGGCCCCAGCCAAACTGCAACAAAAAAATAGCCAAGCGTTGTGGCAGGCGCCTGTAGTCCCAGCTACTCAGGAGGCTGAGACAAGAGAATCGCCTCAGCCCAAGCACTGGAGGTTGCTGTGAGCTGTGACCCATGGCATTCTATGGAGGGCGGAGGGTGACAAAGTAAGACTGTCCCTTTAAAAAAAAGGGTGGGCTTGGCGCCTGTGGCTCAAGCGGCTAAGGTGCCAGCCACATACACCTAAGGTGGTGGGTTCGAATCCAGCCCAGGCCTGCCAAACAACAATGACGGCTGCAACCAAAAAATAGCC